TTGCGTTTTTGCGGCTCAATTGACAGTTGACAGCAAAAGGACCTCCGCCTTTGTCTATTTGCCTCTGAAGTGAGCGCACGTGTTAAGTGGCAATCAATTGACAATTTCTGTCCTGTAATTGCCACACTTTCGGTGTGTCACTCGAAATATCTGTTACCATTTCCCTTGCCAGACGAATTCCAGCCTTTGTTTCGTCCTTTTTGGGCCTGTCCCCAATCATAAGCAAAAATCTGTGAGGCTCAACGCTCAAAAGAAAATGGAAAGATTGAAAGATGGAAAGGGGAAAAAAAGAGAGACAATTTCTGGACCTGAAAATTAAAACGAAACTACAAGAGAGAGATGGAAGTGAGCACCCCAGATTTAGACGAAAACCTTAAAGTATAGTTACCCTCTTCAATAAGTCAGGCCAATCTAATTGGCTGTGCAAGTGGCCAAAGCCAAGTGGCGGCCAAAATTATGGGCTGGAACCGAGAGAGATACCCCAGCTCATATATCAAAATCCAAGTGGCATGAAGCAGCGCAACCACAACATCAACATCATAACTCAAACTGAGATTCCTAGATCTTCTGGGGATAGGACCGAAAAAGCGATTACCAGCGAAGGAATAAAAATGAAAACACGAACCAAAACGAAAAAAATGGGCTGATTCGTTGAAAATTCGATGACAATTAATTACAGTTGCGGGCGAGGCGTGAAAATGGCCAAGAGAAGAGAGAAGAAGAGCAGAGCAGGGAAGATGAAGAATCGCTGGTGAAAATAAGGCGGCATAAATAAGCGTCAGCAAATTATAAATTAATTCAAACGCATTTAATGAAGAAAAACACCAAAGCAAACAGAAGGCCGAGACACACTGCAAGAAATGTTTGATTTTATTTCTTTTTGGGAAAAACTCGTGTAACTTTTAATAAAATAGCAAAGAAAACAACGCAAATATGTCAGTGTTTTGGTCGAAACCAAGGAAATAATGATCAAAATATGGATTGTCATACCTTGCTGAGCTCGTAATTAAATTCACAATCGATTGGCATTTCAACCTGGAAATTTTTATTTTTTGCCATTTTTCGCACAAAATCATGATGGTACCCCTTATCAAAATTGCGAAAATTTGGTCAAAAATCAATTTTTCCAAATCAGTCGGAAAGTGCACTGATATTAATTATAAGCTCGTAAGCTGCTCAAAACAGTGCGTCTTTTTGATGTGGGACCATTTTTGACCAAATTACAGCAAAATATCTAGAACAAAATAATCACATTTTTACCAAAAATCAAGATCCTGATTTTTTGGCCCAAAAACAAGCAGTATTTTGGCCAGAACAATGGAAATAATGGTCCTAGAACGGAATGTCATACCTTTTTGAGCTCGTTATTAAATTCGAAATCGATTGGCGTTTCAACCTGGAAATTTTTTATTTTTTCCATTTTTTGCAAAAAATTATGATGTAACCCCTTACCAAAAATGCGAAAATTGATGAAAAATTTAATTTCCCCGAAAGTAATGGAGATCGTTAGTTTAGGCTATTAGCTGTTCAAAACAGTCGGTCGTTTAACTTTCGGACTTGATTTGTCCAAATTATGATTGAAAAACCACAAAAAATTAGCTATTTTTGTGTACAATTCTATTCCATAGTTTCAGTAAAATATAACATATTTTTGTTTCAGTGTCAGGGAAGAACCAAATGCAAATTCCGACCAAAACTAAACAACGGACCGAAGACCGTTTCAAGGACGAAGGACGAAGGACTCGGAGTGGGCGGATCCGCGGGGGAGTGGCGGAGGAACGGCACAGAGCGCACAGCACAGCTCAGTCAGACGTTTGAATTAAATAAATGAAATACATAAATAAAAACAGATGAGCTGCTGCCGTCGCTGCCGCAGAAGTTGGCCAAAAGGGAAACGGCCAAAATAAACAGCGGATGGGGTAACAAGTCGGCGGGAATGACCTGCCTCGGGGGTTCGATTAGGAGTTACCCTGCAGGCGGAATCACAAACCCCTGGCCCATGACCCCGGAGTTCAAAAGGTCAGCCAAGCAATTGGCCAGAGAAATGGTTAAAAGAAAAGTGGGAAAAAGGAAAAACTAAAACTTTTTCTTTGTCTTAGTAGAAAGTCAACATTTGCGGACACACGAACTTACAATTAATTTTTATTCATTTTTAATTTTCAAGCACTTGAGCCTAAGCTACCCCGCTTTTTGCCTTTCAAATGTATTTGGCAAGGCATAAAATTACCAAAAATAAAAACGAAAGCAAAGGAAAGGAAAACGACCAGTCGGAAAGTCGGAACCCCAGCAATTAATCAGTGAAATTGCAGGCGGAATATAATAAGAAATGAGCCGCCGGTCGGGACGAGGGCTTTAAAAAGTCAAACCACAGACAATCAGACACAGTGAATGTTTCTGATCTCTCCTCTGAATTTTTTTCTTGCGAAAGTGTCAAGAATTTGGCACAAATTCCAAATTCCAGTAAAAGCATTTAAATATGGATTAATGTAGGGAATACAAATACCGCGAAAGACAAAAACCAAAGGAATAACCAATAATAGCGAATAATAACGATAATTTTACTAAACGTATCTTTTAACATTCTTATAATATATATTTAATTTTATTTATTTAATCTTTTTATTTTATTTAATCTTTAAGCACTGTCCAATTTAATTTTTCTACCAGCAGCCATATTTATTCTAAATTCATTTCAAAACTTCTGCTGAATGTTAGCAGCACAAATAAACAAAAAACTTTTGCCAGTCGAAAAGCAATTGAATTGGAAGCGATAATGAAAATTCAGTCATAGTAGCGCTATTTATTTACATATATCATATCCACATATATTTGTTTGCACAGAGAAAACACTTTGAGCGAACTAATGAAATGGCAACAGTAGAGGATTTGAAAAGTGTGTATAGGCTTTAAAAAAAAGAAATAATATTACAAATAAATATTTATTAAAATAGATTTACCTAACTTATAATACAACAATTATAATAAATTTAACTTCCCTGAATATAACTGAAATTTAAAATCCGATAAAAACAAAAGAATATTTAAAATTATTCGCCCTTCGAAGTATGAGTACAATTGATTTATGCTGCAACTTTTAAAATTTTTCTAGCTCCACATCGATGGGCTTTAATGCGAGTTAGCACTGTACCTTTATCGTGTACGGTATATAAAATAGAATAGAATAGAAATGGATGCGGCTGGCTGTAACTCCTGTCTGATATCTGCATTCGTGTGGTCGTAAATCGTTTTTGCCCGTTGGATCCGCCTCCTCGCCGCTCAACGCTTGGGATTTATGATACGAAATGCGAAAATCTCTTCCATCTGCCAAAAGACCACCCCTGTCCCCCCTCCCCCTATTTGCCACACCCCTCCCCACAACTTGCCGCCATATTTGTCAGTTGCAAAATGGCTGCTAGATGGCAAGTCTAACGCTTTTTACGGCTGTCACTTTCTGTTTTGCTGTTACTTTTCAACACATTTTTGACAAAGTCAGCAGAACGATGGACAATGGATGGAGAAAGGCGGCGAAAGGAAAGAGGGAGAAAGGAAAATGGGGGGGGTTCCGGAAAAGCGGGACGGAATTTCCCTGAAGCGTTCTATATATGTTTGTGTATGTGTGTTTCAAGTTGAACGCCTTTTGCGTTTGGCCATTTCCTTTCGACTCGCCGCTTTTCCCATTTCCATTTACATTTTCCAGCCAAATGGCTGAAAACTCGGCTGGAATTGTTGTTATTCTTAAATACTTTTGGGCTTAATTGCATAGAAGCACAAAAGGGATAAAGCTGGAAAATTACCCTTTAATAACATAGTTTTCTTAATAATAAAGAATATATATAAAATGAATAATAAAAAATTAATTTATTATTAATTGAGAATTGCAAGTAACCACTGAGAGGATCAATATATTTATTACCGTTATTAATGACAATTGTAATTTCCATTAATAAAACATTTACATTAGTTTAATATTTTTAAACTGCGGCTCGTTTGTTAATTATAATATAATCCATTTTTGGTTAAGTTAAAATAATCAAGTTTTTATAGACTACATTTTCTATCTTTCGATTTCATGGTTAATAAGATAATAAATAATAACAAAATATAAAAATAAAATAAATATGAAATCTACATTACTTCCCTGTTGTTCAATATATTCTCTTTTATTTTTTTAAGATTTTTTAATTAATGTTATTTATACTTAAAAGATTTCGATACAATCTTCCTGCTCCTTCCAGGGTGCGATAAAGACGAAATTGAATAGCGAACATTAATCAAGTTTTACTTGGCCCGAAATTGCTGAAACGGCTGCCCGTCGCCTGCAATTTGTTCGCCCGGAGTCCTGCTCTTCGATCCGTAAAGGAAACAAACCGCCTGCCACGCCCCCGCCCTTCCCCGCCTTCCGCCCCCGGGCAGAGGACTCAGTCAGGTGAAAGGTGAAAGGCAGCGGCAGCGGCAATCGTCCGTCTGGACAAATGTTTGTGGCCAGGCCATTAAGTGCTGCAATGCAGCCAGAGATCCCGGGATTCAGGGATCCGGAGCTTCAGAGCCTCAGAGCTGGACAACTGTTTAATTATAGCAAAATATTTGCGCAGGCAAATCAATTAAGGCCGGGCCATGACAGCCTGCAGGCTGCAGCTGCAGTAAATGGGAATTGCAGAAATATGAGACGACGACCAAGAAACGAAGCAATCGAATTGAATCGAATCGAAATCAATTGTATCGAAAGGCAGGTGGAAATGAAACGATTGTCTTATGACTTTTGCCCTACCAAATTGCAATTGGACCTTTTAATGCTACATTTAAAAATGTATCAAGAAATGTGTGGGTGCCTAAAAAGAATAAGAAAAAAAATATTCAATATTTTATATAAAACAAATTAAATTGATTGCTTATATTTAAATATTTTTTTTAATTTAGTTAGTTACTTAAATTAAATAAAAACTAACCGAAATTATTTAAATTTAGCTAAATTCGAACCCCAAAATATAATCTCATATCAGTTCACTTTTCAAGAAAACATTTTAATAGTTCCAAAAGACCAAACGCACAGAAAGTCGAGTAAAAACGCCACGATACGGTGGTCCGATCTCTACCAGAAGTCTCCTGAACCAGTTCCATGTGCCCCTCCAGTTCCGGTTCCAGTTCCAGCTCCACTACCAGGTCGTCCTGCTCCGTTATTGTAACCCTGGTTCATATCCATGCCGTTGTAGGCGCAGAAGGCCTCGCCATCATGCAAACAGGGCTCCCGGAACTGCGGATAGTAGTTCGGCATGGGACAGCTCATCTGGCGAAAGTCGCCCATGTCCATCCGCTGGTTTTGATGTTGATTATGATAACAACTCCGGTTCAAATAATTCCCATGATTCCCATGACTCCCATGGTTCACATGACCCGCATGATGATGGTGGCTCCGCTGGTATCCAGTGGTATTGGGGTTCCACAGATCCCCCATCTGGGGATAAACGGGCGAGGTGACCGGCTGACCGTCCCAAAAGGAGAGCGCATTCCACACCATTGTGCTGTTTTCAATTTGTACGGAATTTGAAATGTTTTTCAAGAAATAATTTACTTGGAATTTGGTTTTGCTACTGCCTAACGATCCGAATGGTATCGAGAATGGGTTTCAACTGACTGGGTCGCTTGAAAAATCTCAAAGTCAAAGGCAAATCGAGATGACAGTGGCCACAAGGGCTACTCTTTCGACAGGTATGTAAATAAATATTTTATTTGTATTAAATTTACCAATGAAGTCAAAATATAATAAATTATTAAAATATTTTTGAAACTTAATATTGTAGAACTAATATAAAAATAGTTTAGTTTTTTTTTCGGTGTATTTATTTTCTTCCTGCATCTGGATGGCTAATTTGTGGCGGGTCATAAAGAGATTCGCATTAAAATTGGAGGGAAGCGACGGAACATTTTATGATGGATGCACTTCCTTTATGGCCTTTATGGCGACTGGAAACTGGAAACAAAACGATTAAGCTCCGTATCGGGCCATTAAGCAAAGTGGCGTTGTAAAGGGCCGCCGAATCCCGAACTCCGAATTCCGGATCCCACATCTTGCTTCCTTCTCCTTTTTCCAGGGACTCTCTCGTTCGCCCAGGGGAGCAATCCGCTGGCTGGTCAAACTTTTCTAGTGTCAGCTCCGGTCCTTTCCGCAGGCCACAAACACAAACACATGCCTAATGAAGCGCACCCCGAATGTGCGCCCCCTCCGAATTTTCCATTTCCATTTTCCGGCACAGTGGAAGAAGAAACAAAAAATTCGCACAAACTAGTCATAAATATTAGTATCATCCCAGTGATCACTCCTTTGCATTTCCGCTGTTGCTGATTCCAATTTAAACAGCCTGCCACACTTGACGCCTTTTTCGGTTACACATTGCATGAGGGGTCTAAAGGACCCCCTTTATGACTATATCTGTTGCAGCAATTTGTAGACCACTGTCGACCACTTTTGAACCCCCCTTTTTGGCTTTTTTTAGGGGGGTTTTAGGGGGCTCTGTCATCATGACTGCCATTGTTGTTGCACCCGGACTACCCACTAATTTATGCGTATTCAAGTTTAAATTGGAAATGCGTGCTACGTGTGGGCCAGTTCCTAGGGGTCAAGTTAGGGGGAGGGCTACACAGGGAAAAAATCTGGGTACAATAAATCATTTTTTTGATCATATATATTTACAGGCATTTTTGATCATTTCTACACTTTTAATTTATTTCTAATTTGTATTAGACTTGTAGACACCTAGGAAAAAGGGTAACATACAACATTTTTATGACAATATATAATTCGATTTTAATTTAATTTCATTTTTAACTTGTATATGCGAGAAAAGCCTTAACAATTTTTCTATACTAAACCAAAAGAATTTTTAAAATTATATTACTTATTAAAAAGGAAAGATTTCTCCTCTCTGTCTTTTATTTTTTCCAATGTGTGCCTGTAGTCGCCTCAAAACGTTGATGTTGACCAAATTGGGCATTTTGTTCAATGGTCAGCGGAAGGGTTGAGTAGCAGGTGGGTGGTGGGTGGTGGGTGGTAGGCTGGGTGGGTGGGCGCACAGTGGGCGGAGCGGCAGATGATGCGGTATATTCTGCAATCACGCACTCACACACGCACGCCGACTCACAGCCAGGGCCAAAATGTTTATTGTATTGCATTTTGCTGTTCTCACTGTCGCCTTGGGCACACTGAAACAAATATCTTGTTCTTCTATAAAATATTATTATTGCTTTCAGGGAAATTTCTAATGCAATTTATTTGTTATGAAATTTATATGGCATTTATTTTATATATGAGAATTTTTAAAGTTTCGTTTCTTTATTCTGTTTTTTAATAATAACATTTTCTGTGCATCGTTAGTCTGCACGCACTAGTTATCTCCGCCCCCTGCGCCCACTTTTCCCACCCCTTCCAAGCATTTCCCACCATTTAAATGTAAATGCAGTGGACATGTCTCTGGATATCTCGCAGTGTTTCTGCTCTTTGTTCTGTCATCTGTCTGCCCTTTGTTTTCCGTGTTGGCTCTTATTTTTATTTTCGTGGCTACATGTCTCTTCAGTAGTTTACGGCCACTTCACTTAACGAAATTGTTGTTTCTATTTAAGAAAAAAAAGAGGAGTAAAAAATATACAAAACAGTTATTTGATTTAATGGAACTTCACTTTTTGTTACTTCTTTGGATCAAAGCCGTTTGTCAAAAAGCATTATTGTTCAGAAGAAATAAAAAAAAAATCAATATAAAAGTTGTAACAAGCTACTCTTTTTACAAGTAAAAGATTTTTTTTAATTATCTACTGTCTTTACAATTTTATTTTTTTTTAAATTTTCACTCATTAAAAATTAAGTAACAATCCGAAATATATTTGTTTTTAAATAATAACCACTCCATTTTTAATTTATATGCAATGCACATGGTTAATATATTTTTATTGCATTTACAATATTTTCGAAAAGTCTGGCCCATTTTTCACAGTGCCTAGCCATTGGGGCTATTTTTCTCTGTTTTCCTTTTGGTGCTACTTTATTCCCCTCCCCCGTTTCCCTTTTTGGCCGTAATTACATAGCCTAATTGTTGCTGTTGCCATTGTTGCTTTTGCTGTTGCTGTTGGCAGTGTCCGTTACTAACAATAAGTGCTGCCTTTCGGCCTGCATCGAAATGAGCCGAGTTAAGCACTTGAACTGCAATTTGCCAATGTTGCATGTGGCTTAACCCCACGTCGCCCTCACTGCATTTTAATTGCTGCCAGATTTTCACTTGCCAAACAATATATCATGGTTATCAATTTGAGTCGCTTAGTCGGGGCTAACTAGTTTTAAATTAATTTGGAATTTGCATCAATTAAAAAGCCTTTCGAAATGTTTAGGGCGATTAAATTAAATTATATTGGGCACTGAGTCATTTCATCTTTAATTTAATTGAATTAAAAAGTATACTAAAATATACTTTACATTTAAGGAAATATTTTAAAAATGCAAGTGGAATTTAATATTTAAGTTTATAATTTTACTGCAGCCCAAATAAATCATATTTATCACAAAAAATAGTTTATGCAAGTGAGGTGGAAAGAAGATATACCATCTATTTTCCCGTCAGGATATGATATTCCCCTAATTCCTGCTCTTATTTATTTTTCTACGGCCTCCGAAATTGTTTTCCCACCCATCCACGATAAATAGCAGAAACTGTCAAACTGCTGTCGTTGCTGTAAAATGTTAAACATGAAATCCAAAACAAGCCCGAAAGCAACAACAAGGATATAGGTTGTAGGCTGTAGGATGTGGGATATGGGATATAGGACAACAAACATGCCGGTATGACATATGAGTGCCGCTGTCAAACGTCGTCGGAGCTGGAAGATTTATGTGCCTCTCGGCTCGACGGGGTAAACCAGCCACGTGTCCCGGGGCCAATCAAAAAATAAAAAATGAAAGTAGAAATAAAAATAAGGGATATAAAAGGATAAATGGGGTAGCCGAGGGATAATTGGATAGGTATCGCTTTGCCGATTCGCCAGAAAAGCGCTAATGAAAACTCCAAAGGGAAAAGAAAGTGTTAAGATTTTCCCTACTTCTGCTCGTCCTTGTCCTCGTCCTTGTGATTGTTATTGTTATTGTTCTTGCCAACTGGCGACACACATATGGTGCTGTGTGATTGATGCGATATGTCCTTTGACAGGATCCTCGCACCCAAATCCATTCTCCATCTGAATCTGAATCTGAATCCCCCTCTGTATCTCCACCCCAAAAAGACGCTTCATCAATGCGACAATGTCCTGACAGTTGTTCCGACAGTCGCAAGTGCAAGACAAACAAGCTGCACTTCTCGCCCAGCTGCTTCGCCCCTCCCCCACCCCACTTTTCCCACTGCCACGCCCACTTTTCCTGCTTTTGCGCCCACTTTTCACCGCACGCATGAGAAACATATGCAAATGCAGGCCACCGTGGTGAGCAAGTCGTTGGAAAATGTTTCAAGGTCACTTATAGAGGAATTGAACCTGGAACACAAATTTCAAATACTAAAAAAAATTGAAAAAATATATCACTAAAAAAACAAAAATGTCAAAAAATATCTTTTATTTATTTGTTTCGTATATTTTATCCATTTATTTTGGCTCAGTTAGTTTAACCTTTTTGAAACATTACTACTATTAATAACTTATTTTATGGATTGCAATTTATATAATTTAATAAATGATTAAAAATCCCAATAGATTCTTTTGCACCACTGTGCACCACTGTGCACCACGCATCGAAGGAGCGAGAATCTGGCCGGGATGTGGGCAAACATGTGCCCTGTCAATATGCCAAGAGCCGAGTGCAGCTGGGAAAATAACTGAAAAACGGATTCACCATCTTCCCCTCCATCTCCATCTCCATCTGCTGCCCAGCCTCAGGATCCAGGACGAATCATCCCATGCCATACCATCTCTGGCGGTAATAATTATCGACAAGCGACCACAAGTCATATTTCAGCCATCTGCAATCTCAACATTTTCGCAGCCAATTTCGAAAAATTGAATGTTCAAGCGGGCGAATGTTCGGTGGGCATAAATTTGCGGCTCCGCCGGCAATCAAAGCGGACTCTAAACCAGGACCTGCTGTTGGCTGTGATTAATAGCCGGGCCCATAAATCCGGCGGACCGGGTAGCTCCGTTCTCAGGTAAGTAACTTGCATAAGTTAGCCGAACGACGAACGAGGAGCGACGCACGGCCAACGGTCAACGGGTCGGCTACTTGTTATGGCCGTACGCTAATGAGAGGAAAGTGCTGTGGGGCGGTGGAAAATGGGAAATGGAAAATTCGGGCTTTCGAGGGAGGCTGAGGCTGTCCGGTTTCCGTTTTTCCCAGGGACAGGATGTCTGTCATGTCATTTTTCAGACTTTGCCCGCCAAGCGAAAAAAACAAATGACACTAATAAGTTGAGCGTGGCTGAAAAACAGCGGGAGTTGGCCAAAATATGACAAAGGGGGCGAAATATGGGGGGCCCACTTAGAGTGACGGACATTGAATCGGCTTACACGTCTGAAATACTTAACATTTTCTTCGAATTGTACTATTACTGGCTGCGCAAAATATTCCCAAAAAATCTTAAATAAAAAATAGAAAAAAAAA